TTTCTATTATAATTCTGGCAATTATATCTTCTGGCAGCTTTACAAGTTTTTAAATCCAAAATTATCCTACAAATTTTATACGGCATCCCAAACTGGTTGAATGCCATGGATAGGTCAATTGAATGGATACAATCTCAATTCTTACGTAAAGTGCTAGGACTACCAAACTGTGTTCATTACTCGGTACGTTACCAGATTTTCCTCTTTGGAAACAATGGCTTGGCCAAGATCATTTCAATTCTGGCTAAACCTTTTCTACAACTCTGACCAAGATAGTTTATTATATCAGCTACTACTGGACTCTAAACTTCCCTTTGGGTCTACTGCCCTTTAAAAAAAACTGAAATGGATTGGCCTAGATCAGGGGTGGGCAATTCGTTTCTATGGGGGGGGCACATGAAAAATCTGAACTGTGTTCGGGGGCCGAACCAACTTTACTTTAAAATAAAATGAAATAGTGATATTATGATTGTTTTTATTTTAAACTTGTTAATCTTCACAAATACTAAAAAGGTTTTTTGGGGGGTATGTTAAAGATAAGCAACTGATCAACTTTAGACAAAAAGCTATAAATGGTTTTGATGTTCAAAACTGTCTGTGGGCCGGACAGGAGCAGCTAGTGGGCCGTATGTGGCCCTCGGGCCGCACTTTGCCCAGGTCTGGCCTAGATAGTGACTACTTGGGCTCACTAAATCAAGGACAAGCCTTCCAAATGAGCAAAAGAAGAATTCTGGACATTACATTCCAGGAACTATGGAACACAGCCGACAAGACCTGCTCACCGCTGTTTTCCCATATTCCCTTTAAAATTGGAAAACCAGCTGCCTTCCTTTCTCTGCTCAAATGTCCACAAAAACGCAGCCAGATGCAATGTCACACCTGCAGCCTTACAATATAGTAGATTCAAATGAATCCTGTACCTCGAAAGACATTGCTCATGCAAACAGGGTGCATTGGAAACTTGTGCCCACATGTTTCTGCACTGTTTCCTTCACCAGAGTGATCACTCCAGATTTGTGGCACCGGTCCTGTTAAAATTGGAGGGAAAATCTGATGTGGATAAAGTCCGTTTTATGTTATCTGTGGAGGTGCCTGACATTCTGAAAAGAATTGCAGATTTCATCAGCTCAATTGTGAGAAAGCGAAACCTCGTTTTCAATTAGATGTCTTCAAAGGGTTTGGTCTTCTGCTTTCCTACCTTCCGGATTTTGTATGCGTGGTGCACTTAATGAACCAGTTTGGTTATGTTTTATTCTCTTTATGCCAATAAAGGTTTTGTCTTGTCGAAATGGTGGGAGGAAAGACTGATGAAGCTGACTTCTAAAAAATGGTAAGTGTGGCTTTGCATTTCTCTCCCGCTTGCGTTTGATACAGCATCTCAAATGGTCTGTTTAATACAAGAACTGGCTTTACATATCATATACATAATTTTCATAATTTATTTTCTAGGATGGTTTTTTATCTCTGCAGAAGAGGGCGATCTAAGACTGTGCTAACTGAGTTCCTGAAAAAGAAGTAAAAGTTTAGAGTACTGTAAGAACTGGTGATGCATGGGAAAAAAGTAAGACAAAGGGAAGACAGGAAAAGAAAAAGGACAAGTCCGTCATGCTTGACTGCAAATATATTATTTTTATTGCACTGCAGAGTAAGTACGAAGAGTACATAATGTGTGTTAACATGAGTTATGTACAATCTTTTTTTAAAAAAGCGTGCTGCTTATATACCACCCCATAGCACTTGAAGCACTCTTGGGGCAGTTTACAAGTTAATTAGCGAGCTGGGTACTCATTTTACCGACCTCGGAAGGTTAGAAGGCAGAGTCAGTCCTGAGCCAGCTACCTGAGATTGAACCCTGGGTTGTGAGCACAGTTTTGGCAGTTTAACTAACACCACGAGGCTCCTTTTATGTAACGTTATGCTTTCCTGTCATCCATAGACAGAGTCCTGAGCCAGGTACCTGAGATTGAACCCTGTGTTGTGAGCAGTTTTGGCAGTTTAGCTAACACCACGAGGCTCCTTTTATGTAAAGTTATGCTTTCCTGTCATCCATAGACAGAGGAATTCCAGCCCGACCCCTTTTAAATCATGAAACATTGCACATTCTTCATTCTGCATTGTCAGGCTTACAAGTTTGTACTAGATTTGTCTTAGCTTTTATCTAATGCCACAGGCCTTGTGTTGTCACTTTACACTTTTCTTTTCTTTCTTTCTTTTTTTTAAGCCTTTAGGAGCTCTCGTCAGAGATCCACCCATCATTCACATTTCACTGCAGTAAAGCCATTCCCTGCCACCGCCTCCACCTCCTAATCCTCCTCCTGGCATTTCAGCTTATACTGTAGGCTGCAGAGTTTCTGAAGAACACGTTGTCTTGGGTCCTTTCTTTAAGAACTGCTGGAAACAATGCTTCGGGTAATTGTGGAATCTGCTGCAAATATCCCTAAACACAAGTTTGGGAAACCAGATCCTATTGTATCAATTGTTTTTAAAGGTAAGGAAAGCTGGGGCTTTTGGTGGGGTTTTTTTAAAAACCTGTCAGGGTGGCATGATTTTGATAACCGGGACAGAAGCCCTTCTGAAGTAATGAATAAAAAACTTTATACAACATAGCTTTTTTTTGTTTTTTAAAGTCTGGATGTGGTTGGTGGCATTTTCAAAAGCTGTCATTTCAAAACTCTTAGGTAGTATTATCCTTTTCTTCTTCACATAACACATCTCATCTTCTGTTGAAGGTAGATTAAGATGCACATTTGCTTAGTTATTTTGCTGCAGCGCTATATGTCTGAATGTTTAGTCGATATTTTATTATTTTAAAAAATATTTCTTGCAAGCAAAGATTCCATTCAACGTTCATCTTAAAATCATTTTTTAACTATTCTGATGTTTGTTATCTACATTATTGCAGTCTTCTTTATCTCTAAGAGACTTACTAGCTTTTCAGAAATGAAGACTTTTGCTTAACACATTAAAGAGCCAAAATTTAAGGAAGAAAACACAAGCAATATTTTCATGCCTATTCATTTTGTTGTGAATTTCAGTTTATATTGTTCCTTTTTCTTGTTACATTATACTATGTGTAATAAAAAATATATAATTCCATATGTTATGTTTGATTTAATTATTTGGAATATGTAAGAATTGAATAGCTGCTAGAACTGGTCTTTACAATAACTGTTAGAGTGTAGTGAGAAAGTTTACAATACCCATTGTGGTGTAGTGGAATAATGGAGTAGAACTCAAGAGGCCTGGGTTCTAATCCTTGCTCGGCCATGGAAACTCACTGACGGTGTGGAACTGGCAAAAACACTCCTTAAATATCTCACTTATCTTGAAAGCCCTATTAGGGTCTCAATTAAGTCAGTTCGACTTGAAGTCACAAAACAACAACAAAAACAATGAGAAAGTTGGGGCAAAATCCAACATTAGTCCTATGTTAGTTGTGCTTAAACAGTTCTCATTCATTTAATTGAGTCTACTCTAATCTTGGATTTTTCTCTAGATCTGTAGCTTGATAACCTGAAAAACTGTTTACTTGGTAACATTGGCAAACCATCTAAAACTCAATTTCCTCTGGTCTTGATTCTATTTTTTAATCACATCCTGTCTGCTTTCCATTTTTTTTGAACTGTTGGCTTAGTACTTGATAAAACTTTTGTGAAACAGCAATGCCCACATTGTCTAGGGAGGTAGAGGTCACAAAACCAATGAATGGGGCGTACTGGAATTTCCATCCAAACTGCACTAAAAATGTCATGTTTTTGAAAGCCACTTCTTGTCAGGAAATCTCTGGATAAAAACCTTTGAAATCAACTTCCCTGCTGGAGCTTTGTTTCTGCAGATGATGATGATGAATAGTTTATATTTCTGAGTTAATTGAGAGGTTCTGGCTTGGAGCTTCTGATAAAGAAATGAGTTTCCAATTGAAAATTCCATAGTGCTGAAGTCTGTCACTGGAACAAGCTCCAGAAAAAAAGAATTAATAAACAAACCATGCCTTCAGCTTGGTATAAGCAGGGCTAGCCTTCAGCTATCTTCTTGACTAGTTAAGATTGTGTCCTAAAGGTGATGGAACTACTCCAGCAGCTAAAAGCCTTTCCGAAAAGATTGATGGGATGCAATAGAATTTCTCAGTGCCAAATGAGAAAAAAGGTTGGGGAGTCTTAACTTGTACAAATGTATGGTAATATTACGTAGAAGTTAAAACACAGAGGCCAAAATCCTGTTACGTAGCGTAACAAACTGCACTAGAGTAGGCCCACTGAATCAATGGGGATTTGGTTGGTCAACTCCTCCAAAAGTTCCATTGATCCAAATGAGCCTATTCTTAACTGCGATTAACTGTGACTTATTCACTTTTGTGTAATGACAAGAGGAAATGAACTTACTTTAGCATAGTAAGCTGCAGTTTGAGTAGGCCTATTTGAATCAATGGAACATATGGAGACGTTAACTCACCAAATCCCCATAGATTCAGTGGACCTACTCTAGTGCAATTTACTAGTCTAAACAACAGGGTTTTGGTCAGAGACTTAAATTATGGTTCTCTTCAGGCTGATAAAATTATTAACGTTTTACTATGTGAGCTGCAATTGTATGGTGTTTTGTGGTCTGGAATGAGTCAGTATCCTGAACAGACAGAGGAGTGGGGAGTTAATTCCTGTTGCAATTACAAGAATGTGAGTCAGATCCCCCACTCCCTACACGAAGACTACTTGTCAGCACCTCCCCAAGCCCTGCAGCAGAAAGATCTGTTCAAGTACAACAGAGCTGTGCAGGCTGACTCATAACATGGAACAAGAGAAAGGATGGGCGAGCACTTTGCTTAGGGTCTGCTTTCCGTTAAGTCTATCGTAGGCCATCATTATAGGTTTTGAGAGATCCAGTGTCTTGTAATATAAGCAAACAGATTTTGATTATCATGATTTTCCTTTTGTGTGTTTAGGCTGGAATGTATATACATCATGAGATGCATAATCTCAGAACTGCGGAGCTGGAAGAGATCCTATGGATGATCTAGTCCAGCCCCTGACAAGGAGGCGCAGTGGGGAATTGAACTCCCAACCTCTGGCTCTGCAGCCAGATGTCTAAACCACTGAGCTATCCAGCAGGTCTAGCAACTGTGCATTTTCCATACTCTTATTTAGGCACTTGATAATCCAGTTAAAGTAAAATTTGAATGCACATTGACTCTTTGGCATCCACTCTTTTGCTCTTCCACCCCTCCCAGATTAAAACCAAGGAAAAGTAGCCCCAATATAGTTGTAGCCCTGCTAAAGAGGAAGGTTCCCTTTTTCTGTGCACGGCGCTTCTCCATATCTTTGGGAATCATGATTTTTTTTTTCAGATTCTGAATCATGTGGAGAGTCTCCTTGCATAATGGGGGCTCACCTCTTCAGACTATTGATTTCTAGATGAAGAAACCAATGACCAGAGGGAGGGGAGAGGGCTAGAGCATTTTTCCCCCTCTTCATGTGTTTAATTTGACTGGGTTGCTAAATGTCTGAAGAGGGCTTATGAATTACAGAAAGGCATCTTTCCTTATAGAAAGTCATTCATAAATCTCTAAAGAGCAAATGAAGACAGAAAACATGGATTGCCACCATTTAAAAATTCCATAAATGATGCTCTGATGAACTCTTGATCTAACCTCAAATTACTGTCACTAAAGTCAAACAGAACAATAAATTGAAGCCCAGGTTATATGTCTCTTGGATACATGACTGGGAGTTTTACCTCATATCTAGTTTGATGTGTATTCCCACCACCACCCACAAAAATCAGGACACTTGTCTTTCCTCTCACCCTTATCTGCGAACCTGTGGCTGGATGCAAAACTTGTAATCCACCACAGAGTTAGGACCATTACACAATATATTACCACAGAACTGCTTGTGCTGGCAGAGCTTAAATCAAGGGTGTGTCTCCCAAAAGAGCACTCAAACAAAAGCTTTAATACAGACACATCAGAATCCAGACTGACAAAAGTGTCAGTTTCTACAGAGAGGCATGTTGTTAACAGTGGCTAGTAGTCCAATCAGTTGATACTGTTGTTTGGCTACATGAAGAAGGTTGTTTTGACTTATTTGTGACTGATATATTTTTCAGTATTCTTCACATAAACTAAGGCCCTTTTTTGTTTGTTTCTAGATGAAAAAAAGAAAACAAAGAAAATTGATAGTGAACTCAACCCAGTTTGGAATGAGGTGACACCTCTTACATTTGCTTCTTTAGTGTTTGAGTAGGCATAGTTTGTGTGGGAAAGCTCAGTGTTGTGTTGCGTTGCACAGCTGTGGACCTTATGGAACAAGGGGATGATAAGCCAATGCAGCCCTACCATTACGTACTGTAGGTTGAGGTAAGCGGCTGACTTTTGTTATAATGAAAGAGCAGCATATCAGTTGTTTTGGTGAAATGGGTATAGAGAGGTACCTGTGGGATTTCCTGTCTCGTGTGGCCAGATAACTTGGTTGGCTTTGATCAGTCCCTCAGTCTGAAGAAGGAGCACCATTAGCTGCTCCATCCTAGCAACAAAATGCCTGAGGCCAGCCCTAACAATAAGACATCCCACCGGTGCCTACTTCCTGTTTCTTTTTTGTCTCTGGATCCAGAAACACAACTTTCATGTGTTCTGCTTTGCTTAAGTGAGATGTGCAAAAGTGGGAACAGTTTGTTTCGCCTCTGTAGAAGATGCAAATGTTTTGTTTCACTTGACATAGGGGAAGCATCTGTGCTGCTCTTTCTCTCCGTGTTCCATAATGTCTGTTCTTTACTTAAAGTGGTGTTACATACAGGTAGCAGCTGTGCAAATAAATGTGAAAGGACCTGAATTATGTGAAGCATAAATACCACAACAGAGGTGGGTCACCTGATGAAGGTACAAAGTCAAAGGGATGGGGAATTGTCAGTTGTTTCGATGGACTAATTTGCACAGAACTACCTCTGCATTGATAATTTCATTTGCGTTTTACTTCAAGTCCACAAAGGCAGTAGTTTTATGATGAGTGCAGAAAAATAAAGGTTTCATGTTGCTAAACGGAATTGAAATTACCATCAGAAACCTCATCCACCTTTTATCACAATTATATTTACACTAATTTATTTCAGATATTATTATTTCCATGTATTTTGTACCCACTATATTTTATTTTCTTCCTATGATTCAGTCTTGTTAAGGGAGTGTGCGTCTGTGACTTTATCTTGTCTCTCGCAGAGTAAAGAGCAGATAAACGCACACAACAGCTTCTTCTTTTCAGCAGTGTATTTACAAAATATATACAGGATATACATACATACAGCACTTCAGTATTCAGTATTCAAACCGGCAGCATGACATGCAGACATCAGTACACAGGAGAAGAGAAAGACTGTACAGAGTTCATTTCTTAAATACAGTTCTGGCATCAGTCTGGTCCAATCACGTCTAAGGTGACTTCATGCACACAGGTGTGGCAATCTTCATATTGCATTGAATTGCATCAGCCAGGGATGAAGGAATGACGTCATCTCAATCTTGTTCTGCACACACACATATTATGTTCAGGCCATATAAAAATTATATACCTTAACAAGTCTGGTCTTCCCTAACCATGCCTGCACTCTATAAAATGTATCGTTATGATATGCAGTGTAACTTATGTAAACATAAATCACCAGCAGGATTCTGCCCCCCCCCTTTTGAAAGCTCTTAAAATACAAGAAATAACTCCAAATGACCTTCTCAAATAATGGCTGATATCTTGTTGTGTTATCACACTGACAGAAGGCAAAAGATCTGATATTCACATTCCTAGCAGTAACTAAAAAATCCCTTCTGGGTTTACCTCGAAAGATCGTGAGCGCTCCAATACTGGAGGCATTCAAGAGAAAACTGGACAATCATCTGTCAGATCTGCTTTGATTTTGATTCCTGCATTGAGCAGGGAGTTGGACTCAATGGACTTATAGGCCCCTTCCAACTCAATTATTCTATGATTCTATGATTCTTGAGGGTACACACACACCTGCCGGCTTGGTGCATCCTTGGGAATCATAGCATGGACAGGCAAGCAAGGTGTGGATGTTCTGCCTTTTGCTTTATGCCTCCTGTCATGTTCCCACCTGTCCCTTGGTTGTTTCACCAAGCAAAGCGCACAAGCTATGTGTCATGTCGCTGCCACCAGTTGATTACATCAACATTATGTATTATTAATGATAGAGGTCCAGGCAATGTGTCATTTTAAATAGAAACAAATAGAAGTTGTTTATTATTACAGGTGACAAAGGTACAATCAAAACCCACAGCACCACCACGTCCCTTCCACAATCAAAACCACCAATCCTCAAATCTAAAAACTCTCAATCTCCCCCTCCTTCTCCAGCAGAGATTCTTATATCTCGTGACTCCACCTCTCCAGCAGTCTCATTGGTCCATGCAGAGAGTCCCTTAATATTCATGACCTGGGTGGATGCCACCCTGCATTAAAAAAAGCAATAGGATTTGAGCCAAAGTTTAAAAAATACAGTAATACAGTGGTGCCTCGCTAGACAGTTCCCCCGCATGACAGTTTTTTCGCTAGACATTGACTTTTTACAATCGCTATAGCGATTCTCAAAACAGTGATTCCTATGGGGGAATTTTGCTGGACAATGTTTGGTCCCTGCTTCACAAACCAATTTTCACTAGACAATGATTTCGCTAGACATCGATTTCAGTGGAACGGATTATCATTGTCTAGCGAGGCACCACTGTAATGAGTAAATGCTGATTGCTATATCAAAATTTTCCTGCCTCCTGCTACACTCCTGGTGTATCCGCTCTTTTCTCTGCTGCTACTATACTGCAGTATACGTTTCCCATCAGATGCAGCTGGTGTAACATTTTGTATTAGATGCAGCTTATTGACATTTAGTTTGAGTCTCAGTGTAAATACAGTTGGAATAAATATTGAAGGAGTTCTTGTTAAAAAGCAAATCTTATGACATGTTTACTCAGACGTATGTCTCACTAAGTTCAAGGGGTTTGCTCCTAAGTAAGTATGTATAGTATAATGCCTCATTAAACATATATTTATTAAAATGAAGGAATGGTCTATGTTAACATGAAACTCCTTTTCTCTTGTGAGTCTTCTGATTCATTTGGTGTTCCTTTGCCCTTTCAGGCCTCTGTTTATGTAAACAACAACCTAGTTAATACCAGAATATGCCTAGTATGTTTAGATCTGTTTAAATCGTAGGTATTTTAACGTCTGCACCAGTCCTATAGTAATAACATTCTGAATGCTTTTTGAAAAGTTAAAAATATACTTTGGGTGAGACCAACATTCATGACAGTCTCCTGCTTGTGTAGTAGAGCAGGACCACTTTCTGTTTGTGATGTTGGAAAATTTATTGTAAAGCCTTATGTTGTATGTATATTTAATATGCAGTTAGATTGAAGAAGGAGATTTCAGCAGGTATCCCTTGCTTGACAAGCCACATATATTTATGTGGTACCATTAATATACACATTAGAAATTGTTTGAAGAAGCCCCAAGCAATGTTCTAACACCTCAGTCTTCTATACACTTACCTGGGACTAGGTCCCATTAAATTCAATGGAGCTAGTTTCTGAGAAGACATGCATATAGTATTGTAGTGTTAAAACACTTTGATCTAGATACACAGATACCAGTAGAATCTGGAGATATCTATCTGGCAGTATTATTGATTTTAAAATGTCTAAAGTGCTTATCCCTGAATTTTGAAATTGCTGATTGATTTACATGATGGTGTTCTGTTCATAGTGCAAATGTAATGGTTCTTCTTCTTTTTTGCACAGATTCTTGAGTTCGATTTGAAAGGAATTCCTCTGGATATTTCATCATCCCTGCAGATTATTGTGAAAGATTTTGAAACTATTGGGCAAAATAAGTATGTGGAAAGTATATTGTTCTGTTAAAAAGTGAACGTTAAACCTTAAATCCAATAATTTTGCAACTAACTTGTGGGACTAAATTTGCTAAGTATTGGAAAGTTCTGATACATTTCTGGGTCATTCTGCATTGGTCCATCTACTTTATAGTTCAAATAGTCTTTCATCAGAATTTCCGAGAGTACTCACAGATGGAAAGCTTCTGAGATTCCTAGTCAAATGACACCAGGCAGCAATGGTTTATAATTCCTTTCTTCTAGTGGTATTTCCAGGACTGTACAGCTTGCCCAAGGCTATACAGGTTGACTCTTCTCCTGAGAAGCATGGTGGGAAATTGAATTCCATGATGCACTGAGCTATCCAGCCAACTCAAGCTGATGCTAGGGCAGCTGAAGTTGTGTTGAATCCAAATTCTTCCCAGTTTAGGGATGTTGGAAGTTGTTGTTGTTGTTTAGTCATTGTGTCTGACTCTTCATGACCCCATGGACCAAAGAACACCAGGCCCTCCTGTCTTCCACTACCTCCCGGAGTTGGGTCAAATTCATGTTGGTAGCTTTGATGAAAGAGTTGGATGTTGGAAGTTACTTAGAACTATCCTTGCCTTGACCTAACTTTATGCTGGCTTAGTGGCTATTTCTGTTGGCTAGAGAAGATTTTGATCTAGCATAGCTCCTTCTTCATCTAGCCCCTTCTTTGGGTCTTTTGATGGTTGACCTTATCCATCGGAGTGGCTGTGCCACCAGGTTTCTCTTCTGGTGCACATTGTTCTGTGAGCACAGAGACATTTCTCCTGGCCAAAGGGAATTTCTGCAAGCAGAAGAGGCTTCTCCCTATTTCTAAGCCATTTCAGCTGGTAAATCCTCGAGTAATGGTTTCACCATTAGCACACCAAGGCTGGCTCAGGCAAAATTATAACTGAGAAGGACAAAGAAAGTAGGGCGAAAGTGGTTCAGAAGAGGTTGTGAAGAACTGTCTTTGGGAGGAAGCAAGCTGCGGATGGAAGAGATGGACTGGTGGAGATACAAATTGACAGTTTGCAAATGTTGTGGAACCTGACAAAGGAAATGCGCACCAAGAAGGTGTTATGAACTGGGAGCTTGTTTTGATGCTTTTTGTTTCACGACTAGAGCCGTATTAGCTGCGCATCTTTCTTAAAGAGCCCTTTCCTCAGGATACATATCATAACATCCTGGATGGCCATTCAGATGAGCCCCAGCGTATGCCTTGAGAGGAGACTTCTGGGGGAATAAAGCAAACCCGGACTGCAGCCAGGCAGCTACCACTGTATAAAACACCTTTGTGGAGTCAAATATGCAAAAAGTGCTTAAGGGTTTATAAAAAGGCCTTTGGTTATGATGTTTATCTCAGAAGGCCATATAATAGGTGTGCAGTACAGTTGGATTCAGAGCCTGCGGACCCACCCTTCTTCAGGAAATCAGATGGAAAAAATGAAGATGGATGATTAGAACTTTTTGTGTGTGTTCTCCCATTTACTTTATGATTCATTTGTAAAAAAAATCTTCCTAGGAAGAAGGAACTTATTAAACATTGACCAAGCAAAGTTTAGTTAGAAAGGAACTTCCTGCAAGCAACTGTCAATTTCTCTCACTGTCACTCATTTTACAGCACATTATAAACAGACTGTCGCGTTCTGAAAGAGATTAACACTTTCTAGCAAACTTCTAGGCTTTTAATTTCTGGGAAAGACATAGAGATATTTTCATGATTTTGGCAATTTTAATATGCTCAACCATTCTGTTTTAACCTGCTTGCTGTACAATGTGTCAGTATAATCCCATCCATGTCTGCTCAGACATGGACACAGAGAATCCAGATAGTCATTATGTGGCTATCCAGTGCACTGTATCGTGTGAGACTTGTCAGTTTCAGCTATCCAAATGATGCACGGTCTGTCCTGGTTATTTCCATGATTTTCCATTGTTCTTAGAATGTTTCTTGTTGGTAGAAGCGCAACCTGCAAAATTATGTTGGGACATGTCCTCTTGTGTGTATGCAGATTCTGAGTTGTTTTCCAGCAGAGGTGGGTGTGTTATCCTTTCCCAATCTTTGGTTTCTGGTGGCTGTCCAGGCAACGTGCCCTCCAGCTCTGTACCAGAGAACAGATGCATGCTTGTAAATTCTGCAGCATCCATCTCTGTGCTCTGAGCATTCGTGTTTTGTGGTTGCAGATGCTCTATATGTGCTATGGAAAATAACTGCCATGTATTTGACATCTACAGTATCCACTTCAATAGAAATAGTAGGTTCCTGCGCCTTAGCTTCAAGTGGTTGTGGATGGGAGATCAAGTTCTGAGGGGCGGCTAATCACCCTGGTGGCAGATCACTTCTCCCATAAGCACAGTTTACATTGAAGAGTCTTCTGTTCTCTGCTCCACCTCTTTTTGGAGTGCCACAATTAGCACTGTGTGCATGCAAACCGATGTAAATTCTGGCGCAATTACACTGTACTATTATGCTGCCATGCTTCCATATTTCTTTGCAGTTTGATTCTGGTAGCTGCCAAGGCAACTTGCTCTCCCACCATATACCAGATAATGTGATGGCACAGTTTCAAAGTACAGGTAGAAGGTGGGCCCCAACTCAGATGGGAGGGATGAGCATCTATCAGAGCATCTATACAGTACAGATCAAACTAGATGTTAGAAAAATGTGCATTACCTGTCACTAGTTCCATGGCATAGTTCATCCAAATGCAATGCTGGGTAATCAGACTTGCATATAATGTCCATACCCTGTTTCCCCCCAAATAAGACCTAACCTGAAAATAAGCCATAGTATGATTGTCCAACCATCTCATCTAGTATGAGATGGTTGGAGAGTGTCATTGAAGCAACCAACATGAATTTGACACAACTCCGTGTATTTGAATAAATGTAGATTGTTGTACATGGGGAAAAAAATAAAACATCCTTGGAAAATACTCCCTAATGTGTTTTTTGAAACAAAAATTAATATAAGACCCTGTTTTATTTTCGGGGAAACATGGTATTTACTTTCTACTGACCAATAACAAAACAAACATTTTTGTTTTCTGTACATTTTCTGTACAAGATTCAGAGCAGAGTAAATGTACATGCTGTCACAAAAGATATTTTGGCATATGAGGATGCTCCCTAATGATGAGCTAATGATATCATCTAATTTGATGCTACAATTGTATGTCAGTTTTTTGTGGAAATGTTTTCAATCTGGTGAGAGACAGATTGGAGAAATACTCAAGATCATAAAAAGTGGGTTGATTTGTTCCCCAATGTATTTTAAAGCAAAAATTAATATAAGACCTTGTTTTGTTTTCGGGGAAACATGGTATTTACTTTCTACTGACCTATAACAAAGCAAACATTTTTGTTTTCTGTACAAGATTCAGAGCAGAGTAAAATTACATGCTTTCACAAAATATATTTTGGCATATGAAGATGCTGCCTAATGATGAGCTAACGATATCATCTAATTTGATCCTACTATTGTATGTCAGTTTTTTGTGGGAAATGGTGAGAGACAGATTGGAGAAATACTCAAGATCATAAAAAGTGGGTTGATTTGTTTCTCAAGTGAGCACAGCCTACTCTCTAGGCTGTGGGTTCAGTTGCTTCTTGTTCTCATGTAAAACCAGATCTCTTTTAAATGATTGTGCATTTACACATGTCAGCTGTGTTTTTGTTTGTATTTCATGTGATGATCCAGTGCAACTCATTGCAAATATTAGTTTTTTAAGGGGGGAGCTGGCTTTCAGTTATCTATGCAAATTATAAATAACAAGTGAACAAACAAAATGTCCTGGGAAGTGTTCTTCCCATTGCCAATGAGATCTCTAGTACAACACATTTTTAAATGATGATGATGATGATGATGATGATGATGATGATGATGATGATGATGATGATGATTGCTCTTTTTTGGTGGTGCTTATGAGGGTTGCCAGTCGTGAAAGTTACCTGGTCTAGCCCCCCTGACAATATCCCTACCTCTTTCCACCTTGGTGCCTTGTGATAGGGAACTCAAGAAACTGCAGGAGGTGAGGCCCATCAACTGGATGATGCCTTCTCCTTTCCACTCCCAAGCATATGTTTGTCTGTTGTACATCTGGATGCCTTACTTCAGAGGAACTTGCAAAGGAGAATAAGGCAACGGGCATTTGTGTCCAAAGCAGAACAAGTAGAAGGGATTCTATACAGAGAGAGAGAGAGAAAGAAGGGAAGGGGTGGGGAGGATTCTAATGCTATTTATGCCCACTTCCTTAGTTTCTGGTTTTTTTTTAAGTTTGACAAAATATTTCCTTGCAGCTGAGTACTGGCAGCAAAATACTCATTGCTATGGCATTTATGTCCTGGAAAGTTAACATGACCATGACATATTTTTCCACTTCTCATAGAATTGGGACTTGCTTGGATTTGCAGAAACATTATCCTTCCTTAAATGCTTAACTAGGCTTCGTGTCCAGTTGCTGCAACAACCTTCTCTGTCACTAGAAAACAATTTTTAAAAGCTGCAGCTGTCTAATATGAGCACAGTAAGAGCTGAAGGCACAGCCCATGTCGCTGACTGCATGGCTGGGTTTTCCCTTATAAGGAAGACGGAAAAGAGGGGAAGGAGATCAAAAAACATCTGCTTTCTGTTATATGACTTTGCTCTTTGGCATCTGTAATTTCACTAAAGCCGTTTTGTGAAGAAAAAAAAAGCCACAAAACCTTAAAAGCTTGGAATGTGAGGCTGGAAGAATATTCCTGCTAATGCATATTCGAGAATATAATTTCACATTGCAGGACGTGTGTTGCCTCAAAGTTTATGTGAAGTGATTTTAATCACCACACTCAAGGAGAAACCCATACTTGTACTCCTTTTTTTCACAAACATTTTAATGGTTTGGTAACCTAGCAACTGAGGCACTTCAACCTTTTATTTTAGAAAACAGTCATTATTCTGCTGCAGTGAGGAATATAAATGTGCAGCTAAGGGGGAGTCTAAGCAGGGATGCGCT